CTATAGATAGTCACTGCAGCAGACAAAGTAAGTTCGTTAAAAAATAAGAATAATGTTGGCCCGCTCATTGAAGCAATAATACAAACACTTAGTATTTTTGTGACTATGGTGAGTTTTGATAACAATGTGTGTGTGGGGTAGGGGGGGGGGGGTGGGAGAGGCATTTGTTGGATAGGGAAATTTCGGTGATAGTGGTGGGGACTAGGGAGGAAAGGGGGTGGAGGTGCTGGTTGGCTGCAGGTAAGAGTTTGACTTTTGATATACAGGGTGTTTGGGTGGGCTGTTTTGAGTTTTGGTGACAGAGAGGAGAGGGAAGGAAAGGGTGGTTATGGTAAGAGGAGACATACACAGATAGATAGAGAGAGAAAGAGAAGGGAGAGATACCTGGGTGAGACTTCAAGATTGTCAATGGTTGAACATTGTGTCTCTGATGGTGCCTCCATAGTGTTGTTGCGAAAAAAGAGTGTTTCGGTGAAGAAAGAATAAGAGAGAAGAGAAAATAGTCTTTCTTAGTATATTTTCTTAAACTAAACGTTATTTAGTATTGGATTATTTAGTAAAAATTGTTGTTTCGTGTTGTTCACTAAATATTGAATTTGTATGATTCGTGTTCATAATATTACTTATAATTTTGTATCATTTTTCTCGCTTGTAATTTTGTATCATTTTTTTCGAGTATTTAAATTTAGATTATTTAGTAAATATTGTTGCTTTGTATTATTCACTAAATATTGAATTTGTATGATTCATGTTTGTCTATGAATTTAATCTTGTATATTTTAAATGTTAAACATATTTTCTTTAATATATCTCTTGATATATGAATTGTCTAATAACTTGAATTTAATTTTGTATATTTTACATGTTAAACATATTTTCTTTGTTAAATTAATTTTTTTGCAAGTTATGAATTTTTTTTATTGATTATGGAAAAAAAAACTGACCATTGAATTTGTATAATTCAAGTTTATAATAGTGTTTTTAATTTTATGTCATTCTTTTCGGTTATTTATATACTTAGTACATTTTCTTAAACTAAACGTTATTTAGTATTAGATTATTTAATAAAGATTGTTGTTTTGTGTTGTTCATTAAATATTGAATTTGTATGATTCAAATTCATAGTATTACTTATAATTTTGTATCGTTTTTCTTGTTTGTAATTTTGTATCATTTTTCTCAGGTATTTAGATTTGGATTATTTAATAAGTATTGTTGCTTTGTGTTGTTCACCAAATATTGAATTTGAATGATTCGTGTTTGTATATTAATTTAATCTTGTATATTTTAAATGTTAAACATATTTTCTTCAATATAACTCTTGATACATGAGTTGTTCAATAACTTGAATTTAATCTTGTATATTTTACATGTTAAGCATATTTTCTTTGTTAAATTAAATTTTTTTCAAGTTATGCTTTTTTTTTATTGATTATGAAAAAAATAAAATTGACTATTGAATTTGTATGATTCGTGCTTTTAATATTGCTTGAATGAAAGAGAGAAATACAGATGAATATTTTTATGATATATACTATCTATATTTATTACATAATTTTCTTTCAGAGAGAGATACAAAATGTAGTATTTACTTGAATCAGACACTATCTAATATTTTTGTGAGATACAAAGAAAAATATTGTGAAAAATTGATACTTTCTGCGTGAACTGAGTATGATAGAGAGAACCAGATGAATGAGAGAGAGAGAGAGAGAGAGAGAGAGATTTGTTTAATTTAAGGAAAAGATTTTGGGGAATTAAATTTTGGAATATCAATTTTGGAAACTATAAATTTTGTGCAGCAAAATATTTCAAAAGAGTTAATGTGGTACATCGGATCAAAATAATCTGAGACGTCAATAGTTCGAGATAGTTTGAGATAACGTTGTCCATTAGATGATATTTTTTTTTGTCACGAAAAAATCTAGACCACTCTTTGTCTCCGAAATTCAAATTTATTTTATTTTATTATATAGATATTATATATACATTAATTTTATATAAAAATACAATTATAAAATATGTATTTATATATATTTTAAAATAAATTTTAAAATAAAAATAAAATTTAAATATTTTTTTTATCTTAGTTAAGGGTGAAAATTTTTGACTCAACATGATAACACGATTTGAACTTGACACTAATTTTATGACACGAACGTGAAAAATGACCTGACATGCGAACAAAAAGTATAAAAGACTCATATTTAGTTCAACCTGTCAAACTCAAAATTAATATTTAGTTCAACCCGTTTATTTAAAAATAAACATTTTTTCTATTTTTTTGTTTGTATGGTAACAAGAAATTAACACGAAACTAACATGTTTAACTAGTATTATAGACATAAAATGTTAATTATTTGTAACTATTTATTAAGCGCTAATATAATTATTATATAAAAAAAGATATATTATTATTATTATTATTTAAGTTAATTTTTAGTTTGTAGAAAAAATATTAATATAGATTTATTTAAGTGAAAATAAAATATTAACGTTAAATTTTTTATTCAAAGTTTATGTGGTTCAACACGAATACGGATACGAACACGATACGAAAATAAACATGTCAACTCATAACTCGACACAACACAATTAGTTAAATGAGTTGAGTTAGATTTGACTAATGTTCGACACAAGCCCGTAATGATTCAAGACAAATCTAATACGACACGACTTGATTGTCACCTCTAATTTCAGCTAGCACAAAAAAAAAATTAGTTATTTTTATTTTTCATCCATCTAGCCAAATACAAAAGAAGGAAAGTGTATCATTCCTACTTTCCTTTCTTTAAGAATATAAAGTGTATCTCTTCTACTTTCCACCCTCTTACCAAACTGAGCATTAAGTAAACTAGAAAATCAAATAAAATAAAATCATAATTTCTATAAAAAGTAAAATTAAATAATTTTTAATTAAATTAAAAATAAATAAAATCTACTAAAAATTATGTAAACCACATAAATTAAAAAATAGTGCATTGAGCACTTCGGCTCGAGATCTCAACTTCTAAACTCAGTTTTCTTACACCCCCCCCCCCCCCCCCTCCCCCTCCCTAACAACAAAACGACAAGGAATATCAAGCTTCAGTTTCTAAAGTTTTTTTATGATAACAGCGAAAAAGAAAAAAAAAACGTAAAATAGAAAAGTAAACTCAAGCTTGATTCTCGAGAATTTTGAAATCTAGTCTTCAATTAGGTGATGATTACCCTACCTGCTCTATATATCGAGTAGTGAAGGTCCAGCAAAGTGAGATTCCCGAGATAATTAAAGAATGCTAATCTTCAGTCATAATTTATAATAGAGTGTCGACATACTATAATTTATTTTTTGCGAAAATTAGTCAAAACTAGAATCAGATGGCCCTTTTAAATAACTAAATTAAAGTACAGTACCTTTTTAAAGACATATGAATTATTAATTTTTTGTTCTTTAATACAATCTAATTGTATACTTTTTTTTAATAACCAACTTACTATTTAATTAGGGGTGTTTACTCTATCCTACAGGCTCGTTTGATTGCGGTATTAAAACTGGATAGATTAGATAAAATAATACAGTCTAATACAATACAGATGAATTAAAGACAATATTAAATATGATATTAGAATAATACGTAATTTTATCTAGTATTTGACAATATATAATATAAGCGTTGGATAATAGTTATTTAATCCAATCAGTTATTTGGTTAGAGAATTATTTCATCGTATTAATGTTGAATTAACAAAAATACCTTAAATCAGTATTTGTTACATTGATAACAACTTGAATTTATCGTTTGCAGAGTTATAATAGTAAATGTGTAGAATAATACGTTTGAGTTGGATTATAATACCACCTCTTTTGGTGGTATTAAAAAATCTCTATAATACATGTCTATCGTATAAAAAATATATGATAAATATACGTTTTTGAAATTAATACGGTATCAAATTTGTTTACCAAATAAAGTATTAGGCTTGATTAAATAAAAAATAGTACAATTCAATATTTAATTCCCTCATGTCTACCAAACGAGCCCTACGGGTAGGAAATATAATCTTCCGTCTTCCTATCTAATACTTGCGAAAGAATTTTTTCTTAACCTACATGACCTGATCAGGTGTGATATTTTTACCCTACTTCCTACCCGATTAATCAAGTAGAAAGTCGGGTAAAGACCTTCATAATCAAGAAGAAGCTGGCGAAGAAGGAGAGGCCGAATAGGCCCATTCTCCACTAGATTCACATGAGGACCGACAACATCATTAGGTACAATGCAAAGCGTAGGCACTAACCCCAGATGTTTTGGATTCCGATTTAAGACTTAAAATTTGGGGGTTTTTTCATGTTTGATGTTAAGTGAATAAGTTTTTAAAGCTTAAAAAAAAAAGAGAGAGAGAAGGTCTAAACGATGCTTAAAAAAAATAGAAAAGACCTGAACGATGCTTGAAAGATAGGGTTTTGAAGTTCATTAATTTGATGCTTAAAAAAATCAAATTTGTAGATGAAGGCCACCAGATTGCACCCAAACAGAGACACAAAGAGAGATAAGCATACAAAGAGAGTCTATGGGGAGGTCGAGATTGAACGATGAAGGCTTGAGCTATGGAGACAGAGGCTTGAGTGATGAAAGTCAATGGAGGCAAGAGGAGAGGAGTAGACTGAGGTGCCCGCTTAGTTAGTAGATGATAAGGTTGGTTAGCAATTAGGATTTTCTTAGTTTATATATATATATTAATTAATTAATGTGGGTAGAGTAGGGTAGGAATGCGAAAATTGATTAGTATTTTGTATTCTTATCCGATTTAATCAGAAGACCAAAAATTCTTCCACATTCCTATTCAATTTTTGCGGCTAACTACTCTATAATCTCTCAGTCTTTTTTCTCTTCTATTCTTATGGATTTGATCTCTTTTGAGTCAAAAGAAAATTTTGGGTTGAGAAAGAGCAAATCTATGGCTTCAACAGTGTTTTTGGAATGTGTTCCATTACCATACAGAGTGTGATTCGAAGCATGGGACACATAGTGCGATTCAAAGCAAGAGAATCTCAATTGTTTGATCCAGGGCCATTCTTTGACAAGGTGTTTGATTCATGTTCAGTACATTTTGTGTGCAAAAAATCTTAGTTGTTTACCATTTTTCTCATTTGGGTCTTATTCTATAGGTTTGGATTCTGTTAATTTCAGTTATCCTCTGCTGTGATCGTCAGTGTGGTTCATGTTGGTTTAAAATCATCATGGTTGAATATGACAAACATGGTATTGTGGCCGAAACATTATTTGCTGAAGAGTGGCTATCACGAGCCCAAGAGATTGTTCCAGCAGGCATTGGAGAAGGCAAGGGAGGTTAAGGGGTTAGTCGGTAGGTGGTTAGATTGGCCCTCGTTCACAAACTGTTTGACAAAATGCCTATGCAAAGTAGATCTGCTCTAGCGTGACAAAATGCCTATCGCTTCTTGTTCTGATGAGTTTGGAAGATGAAGAGTTTTTTTTTTTTTTATCAAACTACAACCACTCACACTAACATTGTGAGGGCCATAGAAGACCAAGATTTTTGGAAGAGAATATTTGTAACAAAACTTAAAGGTTGAAGTTAGCCTTGAAATAAATCTTGATTATATTTGATGCAACCAAAAAGGCATTGTTCTAGGTTTATTTTGTTTAACTGTGTGCTCTTTGATAATTGGCTAGATCAAGACATTATTTCGCAAACACATTTAGAGGTCGTTTGATAACATTTTTGTTTTCGCGTCTTCAAAACAATCAAAAATAGAAACAATTTTTTGTCTCTGTTTTGTGATAAATACTGAAACAGAAATATGTTTGGATGTCATTTTTGTCTATCAAATTATGAGAATAAAAAATAAAAAACATGTTTGGTCACTACTTCACGTTTTATCCTACATATGCTTTATAATATATCATTTTTTTTAAGCTGTACGGTAAGCTATTTTTTTTTTTTTATATAAAAACAGTAAGTTGTACAAAAGAAAAATATGTTATCAACAAGCAACTCCTGCACAGCTCCTCCATTTCTCAACTCAACTGGAAATGAGCTTTTGAGACTGCAGCCTGAAATTACAAATACTTAGTAAAGCTATAAATGGAATCAAACCAAAAAATTTTCGAATGTATGATTTTAATCTATACTACTTAAGCAAGTGGTTGGATAAGCCTAATGGAGGGTAAGGAACTGTTAAAGGAAGAACGTTTCTTGCAAATAGGACCTGAAAAACGGAGAAAACCTGGGAAGATTTGGGATACCTAGAAATAGGAATTTACATGCTCCACAGGATGTTATTTGGTCAGGGTCAGAGAACTTATAAAACATCATCAGGGAAGCGGGAACAGAAGTTTGGTGCAACATACATTACAAGCATCCAAGACAATACTTAGATGGTCAAAAACTACCTCAAGAATATATTGTGAGTGGATAGGCTGCAACAAGTGCTAAGGTTGAGCCTCAACATAGCAGAAATAGCCCCTCCACTTAATACACTCTCCCCCCAGCATTCCACACAAAATGAATACTTCTGTCTTTTTGTTTGCAACATAAAGCACAACCTCAGTCGCAAATGTTTAATTGAAGATCAACATAGCATCCTAATGTAATATGTGGAAGAGGAAACTGACCCAAGACTATGCCCTTCTTGGGGAGTGGAAGAAGCAGTTTTAGAACATCTATTTCACGGTTGTAATTGGACAGTAGCAACTGGTCACTTTGACTAGAAACTGAAACATACCTAATGAAACTACTTCAACAAATGCACAGCTGATGGTGACAAAGTTCGGTTAGTTGATTCTTGCCCAACTTCTATTGGTATGCGTAATCAAGGAATAATGGGGTGTTCAATAATAACATTCCTGGGCATTGATCAGTAATCATTAGAGCACTAACAACCAGCTTCAGAGTATAGATACACAACTTAATAAAACAGACCCAACTAGACTAGATTAAACATATATTGTGATGGCATTTTATGGGTAAAAAATAGAAAAAGGGCCTTCTAAAGCTTTTTAAATCACCAAAATACCAAAAAAAAAAAAGAAGGTATCATGAAATAATATGCAGTAAGCCTTCAACTGTGTAATTCCCAAAATTGTTCGAAGATTATTATGTCTTTGCTTGCAATGGTTTGGCATACAATTAATAAGAAAAGGGCTGATTGCCAATTTTTTGTATAAATTTAATCCGTGTTAAATAGTTCATGTAACATTGAAATCAGAAAATGTTCGAATAATAAATAGCTCAAAAGATAAATATACAACCAGTAATCCAATACTTCAACAAATCGAAAGCAATGAGCTACTTTCCCAATCTCAATCTCAATTAAATCACAAACATAACATCCATAGAACACTGCACACGCACACCCAGCACACTCAACATGCACACCCAGGACCCAACACATAGAACACACACACACACATCCAACACACAAAACACACACGCACACACCAATCACACAACACACACGCAACACATATAGATCTGTGCATATATGCATATATGTGCACAGATATGTGTATATATACATATATATACATGGAGCTGTGTGTGTATATATATAGAGAGAGAGAGAGAGAGCGAGGAGATGAGATGCGAGAGGGAGAAACAGAGAGAAAGAGAAGGGGCTTACCTGCTGTCAGTGAGAGAGAGGAGAGGAGATATCATCGGTGAAGGTAAGAAAATGGAGAGAGTGAGGCAGCGATGGAGAGTTAGCGATGGATAGAAGAGAGAGATGGGTGGGTTTAAATAGGTTCACGAAAAAAAGAGTATTTTTGCTGTTAAGGGAGTTCGAAACTCAGATCTCATTAATCCCTTTTAGTGCATGTTTCTATTTCGCGTGTTTCTTGGAACAAAAATTTTTTGTTCCCATTTTTTTGTCTTTGTCTCCAATATAACGAAAACAAAAAAAAACCTAAAACAGTTACCAAACATATTTTTGTTTTTATTTTTGACAAAAATTGAAAACAAAAACACAAAAACAAAGACAAAGACAGTTACCAAACATAGCCTTATTTTTAAAAAAAATGATATTTGTCTCCGTTAATCACATTTTAGTTCACTGCCCAATTTGATTTTTTGTTCACTCTTTTTAGTTCACTTTTTTTTTCAATAATATTTTTAAGTTCATACCTATCGGAAAAATAACTTTGTTTTGAGTGAGTTCACTATTATTCATTGTTTTTTAGTTTGCGTTTGTTTTTTTTTTGTTTTTGAGTTCATTAGTCCCATCATTTTGTTGAGTGAGTTCACTATTTTTTGTTGTTTTTGAATTCACTATTTTTCACAGTTTTTAAGTTCACTAATTTGCCCTACTTTTTGAGTTCATTGTTTTCACTATATTTGAATTCACTATTTTTTAGTGTGAGTAGGTGGATGAAAGATAGCGGAGAGAGAAAATAATTTAAGAAAGAGAGAGAAAGATAAAGAGAGTGTCTTTGTGTGAAAATAATTTTGAGTTCACTGATTTTGATTGAATTTGGAATAATATGTTGTGGTTAATTGTTTTTGAGTTCACCATTTTTTTACTGTTTTTGAATTCATTGCTTTTCACTATTTTTGAATTCAGTATTTTTTATTGTTTTTGAGTTCGATAATTTTAAATTGGTTTTGGTGTTCACTAATTTTTTATTGTTTTTGAGTTTAGTAACTTTTTATTATTTTTGAGTTCACTAATTTATTATTATTTTTGAGTTTATTATTTTCACTAATTTTGAGTTCAAATTTTTGCATATTTCAACGTCAAGTAAATGAGGTAAAATTAAGTTATAATTTCAATGACCGAAACAGTGAAATAAGTTAAATTTTAATTTTTTTCACTAGTTTTTTACTATTTTGGGTGGTGGGTGGTGGTGGTGGCAACGATTGTTGGTGGTGGTGGTAATGGGCGGTGATGGTAGTGGATTATGGTGGTAGGTGGTGTTTGGCGACGATGTTGAGTGGTGGTTAGTTTTTTATTGTTTTGAGTGGTGGATGGAGGTGGTTGGTGGCAATGGTGGGTAAGTGGTGGTGAACTAGTTTTTTACTATTTTAGGTGGTGGTTAGTGATGGTGGCGACGGTGGTTGGCAACAATGATGGGTGATGGTGTGTGGTTTGCTAGTTTTTCACTGTTTTGGGTGATGGGTGGAGGTGGTGATGGCGATAGATAATGGTGAGATAGTTTTTCAATGTTTTTGGGTGGTGGGTGGTGGTAGTTGGCGGCGATGGTTGGTCGTCATAGTGGGTGGTGGTAGCTAGTTATGGGTGGTAGGTTATTTTTTTACATTTTTAGGTGGTGGGTGGTGGTGGCGATGATGGTTGATGGTGGTGACAGCGGGTCGATGGTGATGGACTAGTTTTTTACTATTTTGGTTGGTGGTGGTGGACAACGATGATGCACGGTAGTGGGTGGTTGACTAATTTTTTAATATTTTGTATGGTGGATGGTGGTGGTGGTGCTTGTTGGTGGTGGTAGTGGTTTGTGGGTGATGGTGGTGAGTGGTAGGTTAATTTTTTACTATTTTAGTTATTAGTGCTTGATGTAAATGTGGGTAGTGGCGGCGGTGACGATTTGTGGGTGGTGGTGAGTTTTGGGTAGTAGTGGTTAGCGATAATGGTGGGTAGTAGGTGCTGGTAGGCTAGTTTTTCACTATTTTGGGTGGTGTTTATTGGCGGCGATGGTGGTGGTGGTTGGCAACAAGTGGTGGTGGGTTTAGGTGGATTGGTGGTGGTGGGTGACAAATGGTGGGTGGTGGTGGTGGTGTTTGTTGCGAGTGGTGGTGATTGGCAGGTAGTGGTGGTGATTGGTGGCGATGATGGATGGTGATTGGTAAGTTTTTCATTATTTTGGTTGGTGGCTAGTGGTGATGGTGGTTTATAGCGAGGAGGGGTGAAGGTGGTGGTGGGTGGGGGCAGTGAAGGATGTTGGTGGCAATGGCGGTGCGTGAGTGTGATGGTTAGTGGCGATGGGTGGTGGCTGGTAATGGGCGATGGTTGACAGGTGACAATGGGGGGTGGGGGGTGGACAGTAATGGGTGGTGGTTGTTAGCGGTAACTGGTGGTAGTGGGTGTGGGTGGGGTGGCAGATGGTGTTGATGGGTGACGAGTAATGGGTAGTGGTGGTGGCGATAGCTGGTGGTTGTTACGGGTGGTTGGTGGATGATGGTGGTTGGCAGCGATGGTGGGTAATGGTGGTTTACAACGATGGTGGTTGATTATAGGTGTTAGTGTGTGGGGGTGGTTAATGGTGATAGGTGGTGGGTTTATACTGGGTGAGGGTGGTGGTTAGTGGCAGCAGTGGGTGGTGGTAATAGGTGGTAGTTGCCGACGATGATGAGTGGTTGTGTATGTTGGTGGTTGCCTGG